AAAATGTTAATTGTAAGTAAATAAATAAAATTAAATTGTCTAATATGTTAAATTTATAAGGTTTATCTATATTATATTTATATATCACCCGGAAGAACTTGCTGTCACTTAAAACTGCATATAATTAACAAATAAGCCAAGCATCTTCATATTATCATTCGTGGCCTTAGACAAACTAGTGGCTTTTAATGTTTTTATAAATTTAGTTGGATTTTTTTTATGCAAAATAATCCCTGCTTAAAAATGGCTAATGCATACCCCACCAAAACCTGCCTCAGGTCTTCACAATTAATTAAAATTTAATTTGTAGATATTAAATTACCAAAAATATTGTCAATATTTTTATATATGATAAATTGGAGATTTTTTATCATTTAAAATTAATATTATATGTCTGAAACTTTTATAAAAAAAGTTATTAGTGAAAATGTAAAATTTTAAAAAGTTACTTTTGGTATGTTAAAATTTAAATTTGCAAATATAATTTTTTTTTCATGAGTAATTTTGTCCAAATTTTTAGACCTACTTAAGCATCTTATTAAAATACATATTTGACTTAAATTTCAAATCTCAAAGTTTATTAGTTTTTAAATTATTTGAGAGGAAAATACCTGCCCCGGGAACACACTATCTCTGGTATCCCTTAATGTAATATAATATATAATATGAACTGAATTTGAATTTTTTTAAAAAAAATATTATAACTTAAAATATAATAAATTTCTAAAAATTTGTGACAATTTTATTGATTATTTTTATATTAGAAAATCCTCTCTTCGTTCATTATATTTTCGAAATATTTTATTTATTTTTATTTTATAAAAAGGCTGAAATGGATCGATAATTTTTACTCTCCTATTAAAGAAACACAAAAGATTTTTTTAAAGAAAGTTGTGTTACCGGTTTCAACAGCAACACATGATTTGTTAAAATATTTATATAATAACCCCGTTATATGTACGAAAGATCATTGAATAAATATATGTTAACTTTGTTGTATTTACTTTCAATAGGAATTCAGATTTATTTCTACCCCCCCCCCCCTTCCCAACGTTTAGACACATTTACAACTAAAGCAAAAATTTAAAACTGATTAACATTGCATATCTGGCTCAAAATTTATAGAATAGCTATTCTTCACATAGAATATATTTTCGACAAAATTTGTATTCCAGCAAGTGTAGGATAAATTTTACCACAAATTTCTTAATTAATTTTTGCATATACAGGTATGACAATATATGGATTCACAAGGAGATATTACAGGTGTATTGACTTATTTGCACCGTTGTCTGTAACATTTTATAAGACTTCTGAAACCGGAAATCAAAATACAAAAGCGGAAAAAAGTTAAAATCTGGTAGAATATAAGACCTATTCATAATAATTTAAAAAAAAATTAATTATTGAATATAAAAGAATATTTTAATTTTTAAATGATATAGAAGAAAATATTTATTTAGCCATTAAAGAATTTATTGTAATTAAATTTTTTTTTTTCAAATTGACAAAATATTATGAGAATAGAATCACAGTCGAAAACCTTTTGCTAAGTATGGAACTATATGCGTTCAAGATTTTCTTGAGGGATGAGGCTTTGGGTAGTTTCCCCTTATAAATATTATTAGAGAGCTTTAGGCCAATTTTTATAGTCCTTTGTCCGGATTATATTTTTAAATTTTGATTTTGCACTTTTTCTTAAAATTTCTTGCTTTATTTTTAAAAGTTATTATCTTATATTTGTTTATTCAAAAAATATCGTTTATATTTGTTTATATTTAATTTTTAGGGAGAGAGGGGTGAAGAGGTATGTTAATTTTTATATATGCTTACTTCTAGGCTGAATGCATTTACGTATATATTATAGCGAAAACATTACCGCTAGTTCATTTACGCAAATTTATTATTGCAAAAAGCAAAATAGACCAGTCCTAAGTGGTAATCGACGGGCATAGGCTCATATCTAGTTTCAAGGAAATTATGCTAAAATTAAATATTTATTAATGGCCCATCATGCCTAATTTTTTTTTATCTTAAATCAGTAAAATTGTAAGAATATTATATCACTTTGATTTTACTGACGGGTCATTATTATACAGAGGAGAATACCAGGGTTTAGCTCTGCATTATTTCCGATGAAATATAACCATTTATACTATAAGATATTAATCTGATCGAAATCTATTTCATATTAACCCTATTAGATAACTTGGTTTTGTAGAAATTGAGAATATCATAGGCTCACCCAGAGGTTGGTAAATACCCCCCCCCCTCCCAAGCCAAAAAATGCTAATTTTTAACATTTTAAAGTAATTTTTACCATCAAGTATTTATTGATTTTATAAGGTTAGATAAAATAACTCATTATTAGTATAATAATAATAATGGCAGTACATTCTGAAAAGGACATCTCTTCAAGTTAGAGGTCTGCAATGGGCGGGTTTTAGCCAAAAATCTCACCCAGCCGTTGTTTTGAAATTTATTTAACCCGTCCTCCTGCTCACTTATAATTTTTAAAAAAATTAACCCTCTCGTCCTCCCATTTATTTATAAATTTTGTTTAACCAGCCCGCCCGCCTAATGCTAAAAATTTTTTTAATGGCTAATTTGGCTCTTTATTTATTTTTATGTATTTTTATTTAACATAAATAATATGCAATATTATAAATAAAACTATTATTTTTAATAAATTGAAGTATGTTGTGCTCATTTCCCCTAAAAAATATAATATCTCCCTCCCACGCCCGCCCATTACTTTAAAATAATTTTAACCCACCGGCCCAATGTAAAAATATTTAATAAACCCGACCACACCCATTCAAAGTATGGGCGGGCCTGGGCGGGCAAAACCGCCCAATGCGGACCTCCACTTTAAATAAACCTTTTATTGGAATCGATGAATCCATTTTTTTGCATTAGAATATATCAACAAATAATTTAATTATTTGTGCAATCTTTCAAAAAAATGATATTATTTTAGTTGACATGAAGAAAATCGCTAAGAGTATTGTGCCAGAGTTTAAAGTAATTAAGACAAATTTTGATGAGGAATTTCATAGTATATGTGATTAATATCAATAAATTTTCTCAATAAAATATGTATACCTTTATGAATCCCTGAATATTTGTCTTTCAAAACGCTCAACTCATAGATAGTTCCAAATTGTTCAAACATAGGTCTCAAATCAGTTTCTTCCATGTTTCTCGGTATTTGTCCGATGAACAGTTTCAATTTTTCGCCACTCTGCAAATTCAGGATAGAAGGCCCGTGATTATTATTATCATCTAGCAGATGGGAAGGTTTATTTATGAGAGACATATCTATCTCCGAAATACGCTGAATTAGCGTTTTACAGCCACTAGAGGCTAAGGTGGGTAACGATGTTGTGGCCACAATGAAGTTAATTGTTTCTTTTTCTACCTTTGTTACATTGTTAAGCCAAATCTCTCTTTCGATCGCTTCCACGCCTAACAGAGGGACGCATACTTTGTTTAACCCGTTGAGTGGATAACGGTCCTGAATGTAAGGTGAAACCTTTTCGTAGGGTTGTTGTAACATGGCCATTGTTTGATTATTATTTTGTTTGTCGTCTTGAGTATGATTATTGTCTAAAATTATATTGTTTTCCATGTAATTCAAAATTTCTGAGTTGCATTTTTCTATCATTATTTTTTTGCTAGCAGCCCCTTCTTCCAAATGCTCGTCTTCTAGTAAGTCCCTGAGATTCTGTTTTTTGTTATTATTACTCATTATCAGTTCCTCTCCTTCTAGCGTATTATTATTATAAAGAGAGGATATTAACGTCGTGTTGTTTTGGATACTAGAATTGCCTTCGATATCCCTTTTTCTGGCATTTGCTCCCACTTTTTCGAGCGAAACAGATGCAAGGTTTGTGTTGGGGGAGCCTATATTTTGTAGTACAACTATGTTTCCTTCTTTAAACATTCGAAGCATGTTGTTATTCTCCAAATTTTTTTCATGAAACAGTATACTATCGGTGGAATGAAAATCTTTAGCCTCGCATAATTCCATGGAAGTTGTTAAGGCAGTGGCACCATTCTTAAGCTGCGATTCCTTGAGATTATTGTTAGTAGATAATAAAAATCCTATGTCATTGTTTGAATCGTTCCCGCTATTCATGAATAGAATGGACATTACAAATATTTTATTAAAATTTAATATTTTTTTTATGAAAAATATACGATTTTGGCTTTAATAAAATAAAAATAAATTTTTTTTAATGCCCTTAATCTTATATAAAAGCGAAATCTGTCATAAATTATTTATATTTTTTATATTTTATATAAATATAAATTTTGTATATTTATTTATGTTAACGGGGAAAAAATCAAATTAATTTTTTTTTAAACACAATTTCTAAGGTAAGATATGATGTATTATATTATTAAATAATACTTTATTTATAATATAATATATATTTAAAATTAAATATAGTTATACAAAAATATCGATTTGTAATAAGACTCGGTAATAATAACTATCCATATACAATTAAAAATAATTTCCATAAATGCACAACAGCCAAGAAACTCTATAGTTTTACACCTAGCGCCTTTCTCCTAATTGTGGAATGAACAAGAGCTCATCCAGCCCCTCAATATTTCTTGATTCTAGTTTACAATCATAAAGAGATCAAGTTATACAGGTTTAATAATTATATTATTATAATAGATAAATTAATTAATACCCATTTATTATTTCTTTGCTATAACGATTTTTCATCTTTTTTCTCGTTATTATTATTTTTTTTTAAATAAAACATTTTTTTTTAAACAGTTAAGGAAAAAAAATTATTCAAAACAATTATTAATTATTTTTTAATGATTTCTGTCACCCAACCTTATTCTCACCTTTAATTTTTGTCAGCATAATATTTATATCTTTGTTTATCTGAATTAAATTAGGTATTGATTATGAAATGATTGCGCTGTTCTCCCAATTCCAACAAAGTTAAATTTATTTTGATGCAATTTAATCATTATAGCTGTGGGCTAGATATCAAAGCAAAAATTGAAGTTACCTAGATAGCTAAAAATTTCTCAAAATGGTGGACATACATCGGTATATATAATTGCTTAATATGTATATCTATATACACATTAATTTATTTTTAGATTTTGATGGAGTTAAAAAAAATTATAGAATTAAAAAGAATTATATTATTTGAAAAAGTTCACACTATATACTTTTTAAATTTTTTGATAAAAGAACTATAGTATATTTTACAATGCGGCCTTCCCTCTCTTTTAGAACTCTATTATGCAGCACTGTGATTAAGATCATAGTTCTAATACTTTCGGATACATTAAAATTTTTGAAAAACCCTGATTAGGGCGGGGATGGTTGGGACATTTTTCTTTCAAACCTTAATAATTTAATACTAATAGACCCAAAAGTATAAGCTATTTGAAATAATTAATATATATTATAAAGATATTTTTTTGAAAATTGGATTAAAAAATTTTTTTTTTGTCCTAACCATGATAGACTCTGTGTACGTTGGGACTCACATATGTGATAGTTGAAACAATCATGAAATAGAGGTCAAAATAAATTTAAAATCAGTAATCCGGTAAGATTAGAGACTATAAAACATTTGGTTTTATTAATAATATTGTAATTCATAACCAATAACTATATAAAATAAAATTTAGCAAAATTTGTAAAAAAATTTTTATTTAAACATAAACATAATAAAATATAAGTATTTAATTACATTTATCGCACATAAAAAAATTATCAAATAATGTGCCACAACTTCCGTGGGCCCATCCATCACCAGTAAATAATAAAATGAGGTAAATGGTGTGTCCCAAATTAACTATGACCAACTATGATCGAGTCCACTAACTTTATAAATATCATCCAAAATCATATTAATTCATTTTTATTGATTCTGAAAGTTTGTCAGATTGAAAAATAGGGTTTAAACTTTCCTAAAATCTATTTATTAAGATTTTTGAAGCTCTATTTATAAATATAGACGATAAAGTTTGCAAATATTTTTTATTACTTTTGGTATGCCAAAATATATTTTCTTTTGTAAAAATTAAAATACCAAATATTTTTTAGCCAATCATGTATGACGTAATTATCTATGTTAGGCTCAAATTTCCAGTCTTATAAAATAATAGATTAAATTATAATTGGAGTGACCTAACGTTCCCCTGCCCTCAATGTACCCCGGTCCCCCTCTAGAAAATGACCATATTATTATGTAAAACCTTACCCCCTTAATAAAAAGAATAAAATAGTGCTTTATATTGACTATACAGCTAAAGTAAGTCAAATTATATTACTAAAATATATTATATAGACCACTGAGTGATTTTATTCCATAAATTATATATATAATCGTATGGTATGGAGTAAATCAAGCAATTTTGCCATAGAATTTTGGATTAATTTTAGTTAATAAACAAAATATATAAAATTAAAATATCATAATGAGGATATGTCGGATATTGTGCGCAATAAATAATTAAATAAATTTTCCTCCACCATAGTGCAATACGGTTTACTATAAAAAATTAATTATTAATATTATGTATAAAAATTTAATTAATAAATATCGGGATGTATAGCATGTATTATCTCTATATCCTTGATATATGAAACATTCAATGAATCTTTGATAAGCCTTATTGTTTTAATAAAATTTAAAATTTAAAATAAAAAATAAAACATTTATTTTATAATTATTATATTATATAGAATAGTGTGAAATAAACTTTAATAAATATAGTTTTATATAGCTCCATAATGCAAGTCCGATAAAGTGGATCTGGTCTTCAATTACTGATTAATTCATAGGCGTCACGAAGGATAAACGTGGCTATTCAAATATCATTTTTGACTAATAAAAATTTCCCCTCTTCTCTCTCCAAAAAATGTATACTATACGATATATTACTAAACAATACTTTGTAAGAAAAAAGTAAATGTTATTAATTTTTTAAAATAATGACTGGAATCCAAAATTTTCTGGGAAAAATGTTTATAAAAAGAAAGATAGAAAAACATAAAATTATTTTATGAAAATGTTACATATCCAAAAGCCTGCAATATGTGAACTTTAAGACCTACATTAAAATTTATATGGGAAAAACTCACTCCTTTAGCAAAATCCTGGCTACGCCTAGGATTTAATTATTAGGCAACGATAACCCTGCTGTTAATTCGAAGACATTTATAATTCATGTAATATGTCCATCAATTAAATAGTCACAACTCTCGTCATCAGGCGCGTAGCCAGGAATTTATTACGGGAAGGGGGGGGGGATAATTTTTTTGATTTTGAAATATATTTTTTGGAGCATTAAAAGTTTATTTGAAATAATCATTATATAAAATTTATTAGAACTAATCATTATATAAAATTTATTAGAACTAATCATTATATAAAATTTTATAGAACCAATCTTATTGGAAAATATTATAATTTCGAACACAAATAATAAGATATTATAAAATTCAAAGAATTAAGAGCGAATATAATACGGTTAAAAATATTATAGCTATATAAACCGGTATGTAAATCACAATAACATATAAAATTATAAAAAGTTAATCAAAATTATTCTCCTTAAATGAAAATTTAATATTCTTTTGCGATTGCGCCATAATTTTTTCTGTGTTGGGGATTAGATCTCGATGAGTAAAACTAGGTCTATTCAATCAATTTAAGTATTGCGGTAAAGTAACGTCCGTTTCCCTTTTTTTTGAGCAACGGTAACATAACGTTATTCGTTACTTCGAAATTTTCTAAAAAAAAGAAAAATAATTTAATAAATAATTTAAGCCGAGTTTTCAATTTACATTAACCACCAAATTCCATCATTTTTATAAATTTTTATTGTTAAAGTATCGGTCAAGATTGATAATCTAGTTAATATTGAAATATCAACCATAGTTAATCTTATAAACATAGTTATTCAGCTAATAAGGCATCATAAGATACTTTAATTTCTTCATGATAAAAATCCAACAAGTATTTTTTTTTCTATCACATCTGAAAAAGGTTGGGAAGGCTTTTATGGAAGTAATATTTGCAGATTGGTAAGTGCTACATGATGAATTAAAAACCATTCATTTTGGGTAATAAATGTATCTGTATCTAAGATATACTCTTCTACTGATCCTATATTAATGTTTTAACTATCAGCTTGCCTTACTGCAAGTCGAGGGAGACAAATATTAAATAGCTCTTCTTTTGACTTAACAATAACATATAAAATATGAAATTCTTCATCAACATTCGCCCTAATTTCCTTGAATTCTAATAAAATGCTTTCCGCTATTCTCATCTTCTTAATCAAGTCAAAGTCATGTTTTTGAAAAGTAATATATAAAATAGTTGTATAATTAAATAATACATTCTAATGAGAAAAAAAATTTGGAATAAGCAGGGAATCCAATAATTTTCTTGCTTCTGAGGAAATATTTCTTTCAGGCATTGTGATATTTCAGTAATAGCAAATAATCGGCTTAACAAATGTCTTAGGTATATAACCAAAACATTCTATCCTTATAATATTACGAACTATAATCTTTGGTCCAGATGCGACACCCTCCCTATATATAGACTGGGTGACTGGGTTACAAGGTTTGTTAATATCCTTGAGGAATTGATGGCGGAGACTCTATCTCGTTGGATAAGGTTGCAATTTCTTTCTCCCTGTTGGACAATTTCAGAATAATTATTATTTGACTAGAAATTTGAAAATGGAAGATAAATATTACGCCACTAAAAATTTGAAAATAATAAGATAATATTACGCCGGAAAACTTGAAATCGAAATTAATTGATAAAATAACTTAGTTGATGAATGTGATAATAAATGCAATTAAATATATATTTAATATGAGATAGGAATAAATATTAACAAATATAAATTAATATAAACAATAATATTTTTGAAATTAATATATAAGGCATCTGCATTTTTTCATTGGGGGGGGGGGGGGGGGATTTGTCCCCCTGCCTGATCTTATTCTATGTTAACCTTTATTTAATTATGTATTTATTTTAATGATAATATACAATAAAATAAATTTCAAAATGTATAAATTTTATACAGATTATATTAAAAATTTATTCTAAATAACTAATTCAAAAAAAATAAAATTACAA